GAAAGTAGTAAGAAAATCCTTAAAAAAATTGGTTATTTCAAAATCTTTCAACTTACCCTGATGTAATCAACAGTAAAAGACACTTTTCCATCTTTAGCAATCATCCCTGCAACCAAGGACACTTCCCAATTACTAGTACCCTTAATAGCTCCAGTACCAACTTCCAAAAATATATGAACGGTCTTATTTTTGAACTCGAACTTAATATCCCTGGTCCTGTGGAACGAAGACAAACCATACAACCAAGTATGGGTGAGACCAACATCGAAGATACCGACGCTGTTGTTATAATCCGGTACCAAATAAGGATCGAATCCTTTGGCGCGCACTTGATTTCTTACTTCGCATACCAGTTGATCGAAGGGCGATATGGAATTTGGAAACTTTTTCGGGAATTTTTTTATTTCTTTATTTATGTCTTTTCTCATGTTGGTGTTTGCTTCTGCTAATACAAACGGTTTAATAGAGTCGAAGACAAATGACCCCACAGAGTTCATTATACCTAATAAAAAAAAAATATATTAAATCACATTCTAATGAGAGCTTACCAGATGACAAACGAAGGTTTTCTAATATATATAGGTTTTTATAGTGTAATTAACTAGTGTTTAATAAAATCAGTCCATTCTGAATCATGCTAATCCCCAAAATGAAATATTAAGAAAGTATATCTGATTTGCGTCCTAAAACCAACCATTTACAATAGCTACGTTTAGTAATACCAATACCAATCACTTTCGTTCTACGATAGATATCGCTTCGTATCGATAGGTATCATTTTGGAGCATTTTACGCTCACTGAAACAGCTCTCCATCAATTAATAAAAGGGTGAAGAACACACTGGAAAACAAGGAGGTAATGATGGGAGCATTCTTGAATATCGAGGGTGCATTTGGCAATACCTCCGTTGAATCGACTCTATGTTAAGGGAGAGAACTATACACACAACTCTTATGGGAGAGACAATAGCGGCACGGGTAGCGAGAGAATGTCCGCAGGATGGAGTGCTATCTCCACTCCTGTGTCAGTGAATATTATTTTTGGAGTCACAGTTTATTGCTAAAGAATCAGTTAGCTCACTAGGACCAGTTGAAATTTCCAAAATAACATCCACTCCAGGGATACAAATTCAGGATACGCAGAAGACTGCTATTTTATTGTAGGCGGTTGTCATATATTGTATTATCCGAGTTGCGCAGTGTATAAACTGGAACATTGAGATCAAAAGTGCCGACCCAGAGTGAGCGATCTGATTCTTTAGCTATAAACTGTGGCATAGGAATCAAAATGACCTTGCCCTATGTTGGGCGTGTCGGACGTCTCTCTTGCTCCGTATAGTAATCAAAGTATATGCAGCAGCAAGCAAAATATCAGGTGCGTTTTAATCCAATGAACTGGAGTGGGGTAGAATGCTTGTCAATAGCTTGAGATGCGACTCTATGGGCGAAGACAGGTTATTTTTCATCTCACTCGGGAGTATTTATAACTACCATTTTCTATTTCACTTTGTTATTGTCTGATCCACCAGCTTGTGGATTGAACAATAACAATGTGAAACAGAAAATGGTTATTATAAATACTCCCGAGTGAGATGAGAAATAAAAATGGCTGCGCCCATAGAGTCGCATCTTGTTTTATTGATATAATATGCACATTGGCTTTCTACCCCACTATAGTTCATTGGTTTTAATCATCTGCTTCTGCTTCCGGAATTGTCGGTTTAGTCGTTTTAACCTGTCAGAATAAAACAAGAAAACCGACAATTCCGAAGCAGAAGCGGATGATTAAAACGCACCTATTAAAAATATTGCGCCAAGATGTAGGCAACACGTAATAAGGGATCAAAATGGCGGAGTTTTCTATCTCCTTTTAAAAGGCGCTCAGAAAGCTGCGCAGTGTGACCATTCTCCGTATAGTTAAAGAAAATCAAAGTATGTGGTTCGTATATTCACTTATGTCAAAACTGCGACTAGATCTCCACTTCAAAATTTGACAGTTGTCAATTTTGTTATAATTTTCCCTCATGACTCGTTTTAATAACATTTCTGCCGAATTAATCGATGCTTTTTTATTTCAAGTCTATGTCTATACAACTCGACCATTGAAAATTCTCGAAACTCGATTTAGTGCCTAAAAAAACCACCACTCGATCTGCGGTCTCGCGGTGTTTCAGACAATACATCTCGTATAATCGAGAATTTTCAGTTGTCTAGTTGTATAATATATGATATGTTTACAGTCTTGCCTTGACTGTATAAATTTGCGAAACTCATATCGCATACGTAAATTTGATCGAATTTCTTACACCTTAAAAGGAGCTAAGTGCGCATGCTCTGTACTTCTTTCATTAAATTTTATCTACACATTCTCGGGCATACCTCTATCTATAACAAAATTAAATTTGGGTCCAACATTCACAACACGTGTATGAATATACGCAGAAAGGATCTTATAGAGATTCCTAAACATAGAACATTTCAATTTCAAAATTCCTTTCCTTATCAGATTTCAAAATATTGTAATGAAATTCCCAATAAATTTAAAACAATGTCCTTGCTAGATTATAAAACTCATATAATGAAGCTATTATTTGACGAACTTATACTGATAAAAAATAATGTAAAAACAAAATAAATTGTTCTAAAAAGGTTTTGACCTGATGGTTTTTTTTTTGTTCAATATGATTTGGTTTTTATATTCTTTTTTACTTTCAAGCAGGAATTTAAGGAAGAACGGTTTTTAACTGAATATAAGTCCTTTTGACCCTTTTTGTGTTTTTTTAGATTACATAGTTTGTTTTTAAATTAAATATGAGGTTAATAAAATTTATTATCATATTGCGAATTCTCAAAAAAAAACCTTTTCAATGATATGTCATAATTGGTACTTTCCTTGTTTAACACGTTGAACCCCATGTGCACCACCCTGGTGCACAACATGTTTTTACCACAGACCACGTGCACCAATTTGGCCACAATGTATTATCGTGTTCAAGCGACTGTGGGCGTGCGAGGTTCACAGTTTCTGTGTTGTTATATGGTGATTTAGAGTTCTCTGGTCAAGGGAAAACAATAACCTAGCTTGGTCCGGCAAAAACGTCGTTCAGTTTTTGTAGGTTAGTTAATTTGTTGACGTTTGTATTTCGCGCGTTTAACGTCTAGTGCAATATTTTTATTCATTTTTTGTGGTATAAAAGTGTTGATAGCACCTTAAAATGAGTAAAAAAGGATTATTAGAGAATGAACTTTGTCGATTACTAGAAGAATCCGATATAAGTGACTGTAATATATAGGATTATGACTCTGATGCTGATCCCGTTTATCGAGCGGATGATAGTGATGAATTTTATTCGAGTAGTGATGACGAAACAGGGCCCAGTAATTCTATTGATAAAGTGCTAATGGGTAAGTTGTTTCGTTTACAATAAAGTTTTGTGTATTGATTGTTTACTTACCTTATAGACGATGTTAGTAGACCAAGAAAGAAACAAAAGTTGCATAACGAAGCAGGTCCTTCTCATTCAATCGATGATGTAGTATTCGGTAAGTCGTTCTATTTCTAGTACTTTATTTTGTCTTGATGCGTTTATTATTTAGAAAATGAAAAAACTGGAGAAAACGCCGATGCAGGAGATCATAATTTGCCAAGAGATAAAATAATATGGAAAGAAATAAATGCTTCAGAAGAATTACACAAATTTCAGTTTACTGGTAATCCGGCATTCAACATTGATGGAGAGCAACTAAATGGTCATGAACCGATTGATTTTTATTTAGTATTTGTTGATCACGCAATCCAAGACATGTTAGTAAATGAAACAAATAGATACGCCACGCAAAAGGTAGTAGATGGGATTGTTAACGAATCACTTACAAAAAATTCGCTTTTGGGCAAATGGCAAGACACAAATAGAGATGAATTACTTCGTTTTTTAGCTGTTGTTATGTGGATGGGGTTGGACAAAAAACCTGAACTAAGGGACTATTGGAGCAAAAATCCATTCTATAAAAATGACATTTCTAAAAGTTGTGGATTTAGCAGGAACAGATTCGAGGTATTTTTACATTGCTTTCACATTTCGGATAATGAAGATGTTCCACCAAATAACAGATTGTACAAAATTTCACCTCTTATAACGGTGTTGAATAATAAATTTCAGAAAATATGTCAACCTAATGAATTTGTGTGCATTGACGAGACCATGGTGCCTTTTCGTGGAAGATTGAGTTTCCTGCAATATGTGCCCGGAAAAAGGCATAAATACGGAATAAAACTATTTAAACTTTGTTTATCTGAAGGTTATACATACGCGTTAAAAGTTTATGCGGGAAAAGAACAGCCTTCACAAAAATCCTTAGCTTGTAAGGTAGTTATGGAACTCATGCAACCGCTTTTGAATACCGGTAGAACATTATTTACCGATAATTTTTATACAAGCGTTGAACTAGCACACGAGTTAAACAGACATAATACACATTTAGTTGGTACATTACGCGCTAATAGAAAGCACAATCCAAAAGCTGTAATAGATGCCAAGCTCAAACGAGGACAAATAAAATCATTACAGAGCAATACAAAAGTTATAGTCACTAAATGGAAAGATAAAAGAGACGTTCTCTTTTTAACCACTAAGGATACTCCATCAATGATTGAAGTTCAGACTAAACGAGGACCTGTTACAAAGCCATCGACTGTTGTCGAATACAACGCAGCAAAAGCATTTATTGATCTTTCAGATCAAAAAGCAGCATATTGTTCACCTGTTCGTAGAAGTATTAAGTGGTACCGAAAGGTCGCTATGGAACTTTTAACAAATACAGCAGTTGTCAATGCACATGTGCTATACAAATATGTTACGGGTAAAACAATGTCTATTACTTCTTTTCGAGAAAAAATCGTTTTATCCTTGTTAAATATTAGGGCACCACAACAAGAACAAGCAGTTCGGCACTACATTACGGAAAAAGAGAAAAGGGGAAGATGTACACTCTGCTATCAGTTTTTTTCAGAACGAGAAGGAAGGCAATCCGCAATTAAAAATGCCAAAAAAGTACATACCTATTGTGCAGGTTGCCCCTCAACTACTTTTATGTGTATAAAGTGTTTTTTTAATACCCACACAAGTTCTCTTAAGAAATAAATGTTTTAGAATAGCATAATATTATGTAATAATAAATAAAATATATTTTTTATGCATTATAGTGTGTGTGAGACAATCTGGTGCACATGGTCTGAACTAATAAGGGAGAAAAAAATTATATACAGACCGTGTGCACCTGAGGTGGCCACAGCGTTTTTTATAAAAAACAATTGCCAGAGCATCAAATCACTATGTTGGTATCAAAACTAAAATATTTTTAATACCAAAATTTAAAAAAAAAGGTTCTGGTCCGAAACGAAAGGAGCCCTTTTATACCGTGGGGCTTAACGTGTTAAATTATATTGGTTAGAGCGTCAGGGGAAGGGGATGACGTATGATAAAAATATGTCACCCTATAACTAAAAATTGACTGATCCGAGAGTATGTATAAAATATTCAAGCTGTTACTGATCACAGTGATAATCAATCTTAACCTCAAATATCTATTAATTATTTCTCTTTGTTTATTAAACATTTACCTTGGAACATATTCGCGAAAAATCCTAATCCTTGGAAATCCATATCAATACTTTCAAATTTGATATCCATATCCATCTCTTGAGCTTCTAAAGTTCCGTTTACTTCTACTTCCATTGATGCTATGGCAGTGACCTTTACCTAAACATGAAAAAGAGGTTCGTTGAAATATCTAGAAAGACTAGAGCCATGACAACGAACTAGATGGTAATTTTATTATAACACTTTCCAATAGAAAAAATTTAGGACACTGAGAATTTAAAGATCAATATTTCATAGATCTTAAAACCTCAATTTGATTGAATGGGACAAAGTCTCTTCTGACAGATCGATGTTATGTATATGTTACAATATCCTGTAAATAGGCCTACCAACACTCTAGTATTTTTCCTATTCTAGTTTAGTAGATGCTTGGTGTATTTTGGAGATGATCCTTTTATAAACCCTATTAAATTATTCCATCCTCTGCTTTTGAATGTTTTAATGACTGTCTTTTAGAAACCACAGAGGTGTTTTGAACCAAAATAAGCTTTTGCTACCCTTTCTAGAGCTAGTAAATTAACCTCTTCATTGCCCGTACGTCAGTATGGCCTGCTACCCAAGCTAACGTTAATTTGTTTTGACTACTCACTTCTGTTAAGGCTTCCAAGCAGTCCTGTAAAAGCTTTTTGCATCGCTTGTCTATCTGGTTTCTCCATTTACCTTATATACCTTATATCTCTTTTGCTGTAGCATGTTTGCTTAACGTCAGTGATATTATTATCTTTAGCTTGACACTATGTATACCTAATCTTGTTTCATTTTTGGTTTTGGAGCCGTCTGTAGGTGCATTTGATTTCTGCGTGAGTAGGAGTGCCTTCGTCCTACATTTCCTTGTCTGATATAGTTAATTTTGAAAGCTATATTTTGGAAGTATTTCATTTGAAATAAATCCTATTATTTGGTCGTTTTTTAATTTTTTGTATATGTATGTCGCAGAAGTCATATCCATACAGATTGCTTATTGATAATTGACCTTTGTGCAGTCTGTATGTGATGAATATGGCTTCATCTAAAATAAATATACGTAATGATGATTTCCAGGGCATGACTCCCTAGGCACTTAAGCTAAATATAGTTGAGCTTTAGAATGCTGGGTCTTTGGCCACCACCCCTTCAACGCTTAGGATACCATAAGCCTAATGACTCTAGTATACCATAGACTATAGAGTATAATGAAAGACCTGTAAGAACTGCAGTGGCATTCTCATCTTTCAATACTACATAATACATGTCGAGACGCCTATCTTCGTTCGACAGAATGCGATTCTTATGTAATGTCTCTCTCTATTGAGTTGAGTTGAGTTCTTACATAACAATCCCTGATCTGATACCATTGAAGAATCTATAGAACCATGAAAATATCACAAGAAATTCTAAGGGGTGTAGAATGTTTAGATGAGAAAAAGTGAGTACCTTCTTGCCACAAAGAAAAATGCTATTTTTTTATCAGTGGTAGTAGCTATTATTGACATTAAAAACACCATGAAGGCTATGAAAAGCTAAGTAGACTAACCCCAATTTGGACTAAGTGCGGTTAGACCACTTTGCTTTTGAATGAATACGTTAATTTGCTCAAAAGCAAAACAACGATAGCACTGCCATTCAGCGATCTATTGTATAAGGTGGCTCTTGATAGATATGGGTATCAAGATTCAAATCGTATCAAAAAAAGAAAACTACAATTTTGTGGAATAGTCCACTTGCTTTTCATAGCCTCATATGTCTCCTAATGTCAAGATGGTTGATTCATTTGGTATATTAGAGGCTTACAAAGCTATAATTGGGCTTGAAATAGAAAAAGTTCTTAGCGCATGTGCAGTGTAGAATAGATTCCTTTCTAACAGCCTATGTCAAAAAATAAAAAATAAATACTTTGAATTCAAGTATGTATGTATGGTAATAACTTACTATTTGATGCTATTAGTTACTGTTAAGTAAGATACTTTTAGGTACTATTAGGTACTATTAGGTACTATTAGGTACTATTAGGTACTATTAGGTACTATTAGGTACTATTAGGTACTATTAGGTACTATTAGGTACTATTAGGTACTATTAGGTACTATTAGGTACTATTAGGTACTATTAGGTACTATTAGGTACTATTAGGTACTATTAGGTACTATTAGGTACTATTAGGTACTATTAGGTACAACTAGGTACTATTAGATACTGTTAGGTACTATTAAGTAATACTAGGTACTATTGGGGACCATTAGGTACTATTAGTTACTATAAGAAACACATATAATGGTTCTGATAAATTTAATACTTACTTTTCCCATTTTTACTGTAAACGGACCAGCTGCTTTCGAAAACAGCGTATTCAATGTGTAATTTCCATGAACGGTCAATACGTCAATTGAAAGCGTGGCTTCCACCTTCATCTCAGTCACATCAGCTAACACGTGTTCAATTCTGAACTTTTTGAGTCCATAGAGTTGCACGTTCTACAAAAGAAAGTTCAATAATTTATTTATTAGGTACAAATAATAATATTTATTTTTTTATTTATAAAGAAGCTAGTAAACAAAAAATTGAAAATAAATTGGCACAGCAATAGTAAAGGTTTTGTCATTTTTTATAGTGCGTGCCTCAAGGATCAATTTTGGAACCTACACTATTTGCTATATATACATCAATTTTATTATTATAAAATATTGTAGGGCTTGCTTTTAAGCTGATGATATCCAAATATATTCCAATTTTTCTTTTTTGTTTTCTTTTGTAAATTTGTTGTTATATACTTAAAGATATGTTGTGAAAACAGATAATTTTCATCCTTTACCTTCATATTCAATCTGGCCATCGAGAATGACTTCTTCATGTCCGGAATCGGCATGGGATCTGGTATGGGGGCTCCAGGTATTCCCAGTGGATCATCTTGCTTATAATGTTCCAAAATCGTCATAATTGTTTCACTTAATTTCTTCTCCGATTTATTTTCCATGACTGTAATTGGTTCATCTTCTTCGGGTGGGGCCGGAGGGTATTCAGTGGGCGGAGCGACAGCTAAAAATTGATATTAAATCACCTATATAGAAGATGGTACGTTTATAAATTAATATGTAATCATTTTATCACGGTCTAATCGATCACCTAATAAGATTCCTCTTAATTTTTCTAAAATAGTGATGTCAGTAAGTAATGTTTGGTAGTGAAGTATGTTATACAATCCTTGCAGGTTCTTGAGTCCCTCAAGGCTCTAATTTAGGTCCTCTATCTATTTTATTATGTCAATAATATCCCTCTATGCATATTACTGTAGGTATACTGTCTTATGTTTGCAGATGATCTAGACATTTAAAATGTGAGACTTAATTTCAGATGGGTCATTAGAAAATAAATTACTTTTTAACCTTTACAAATCTTTACATTCAGTAAAATTCCTAATTTTTAAAATTTTATCTATACAATGCAAGAATGATTACTAGGAAGAGCATCAAAAATACCCGCCTTATGAATAGTTTTTTAAAATAATTTCATATTTGAGGAGCATATTCATAATATTACCAAAGAAGCTAACACATTAGGATTTCTAAAACGTATGGGACTCAATTTAACATTTTATTTCCACTGTTTGGGACACTACATAACAAAATATTATACAAATTTTGAAAACCATTCAAAATAAATTATCAAAAACATTTATACTTCAAAAAGCATCGTAGTTTAGTTTAGGGTTTTTCTTATTTGAACTTATTAGAAGAGAATTTTATATAAATTGTCAAATACAAATCAAAGTTTCAGTAACAAGTATTCGTTCTCGTCAATTTTATTAACTTTTTCGTGCGAAAAATATTGTTTTTACGAAATATAATATTTAAAAAGAGTATTTTGTGTAGCTTGAAAAGGTTGTAATAAAGGTACATAGATTTTGAGAAATGAGAATACTATCATTATCTTCATACTACAAAAATATTAATATGTTGTTGGCTACTGTGCGGCAGCTGTTGTCTTGTACAAAATTTTTCTCTTAAAAATGAATAACTGACGTAAGTACCTTAATATTAGATAAATACTAGAATGAACTGAATGAAGATATGTCCAATTAAATCGGAACCATATGGGAAACATTTTTATTCTTAGTTTAATGTTTTTTCATTAAAGAATGACTTTTTTAATCATTCTGTTTACAAATTTCTGTATGGTATTTTACTCTTGAGTCAAATTCATATTTTTTGACTAACCTCGTATACAGCTTAAAAAAGTGATATCTGTTGGTTGCATTTTAAGTTTTGTACCATGCAACTTTTTAAAAAGAATTACTATTTTTTATAAAACTAAGAATAAAAACGTTAGTTGGAAACACTGTATATTGCTTGAAATTTTATATTATACTCTCCACAGTTTAATAGACCCAAATTTTGATTTCTTGAGAGCAAACCTGTAATACAATTTTCTCGAAATTAAAATTTTGAATCTCCAACGTGAATAGTATAAAAAATCTCTATACCTATTATAAAAAAAATTATTTAACTTACCTTCATCTTGTGCACAAGAAACACAAAACAATCCAAATAAAAGAACCACAATTACTTTCTTCTCCATTTTTTTTTTATTAATTATTCTATAATAAAATCTAAAAACTATGACATGTGTTGGTGAATTATTAAAACTAATGGCGTACTAAGTACGTAATAAAAAGGCAACCAACAACTGAATCAATTTCACGAGAAACTCATGTCAAAGTTCAGAGACTTTTAAAATTATTATCTTAATTGACTTCTCTTATCCTCTTTGTCTAATAAATGCAATGAACAATATTTACATCTGATTTTCTACGGGTAGGGGAAAGTTGGGTGATGAATGCACGATTTTATCTTTCGTAGATACTTTAATGTACCTATTTGATATAGAAATTATAAACCAATTATGTTTATTATTAATCTAACATTATTTTGCATTTCTGTCTGAGAATTAAAGCGTTGTCTATCATCAAAACTTTTAATTCAAAGAAAGCACTTTTTCTCTGGTAGTTTAAATTTCTAATTCTGCCATTTTACTCCCCGTAACGAAGTAAATACTCTTTCTTTACAAAAACACATTTATTTACATTGATATACAAAGACAATTGAAAGATTGTTCGACTTACCTGTAAGGAAGATCAATCTCAATTATTCGAGCATCGGAGTTCTTCTATGATAGATATGGTAGGTTTCATATTCCAAGTAATTCACGCACTGTGTTAAAAGTAAATAATTTTTTGTCGTATCGGCTAATCCTTTGTCTCTGGGAGCGACTATCGAACAGTTCATTTGTGACTGAACTAATCGCACTATAGGGTAGATTGTGGAGGGAGGGCCCTATCATAGAAGAACTCCGATGCTCGAATAATTGAGATTGATCTTCCTTACAGGTAAGTCGAACAATCTTTCAATTATTCTTCGCATCTCCGTTCTTCTATGATAGATATGGTAGATGTTTAAAGATACAACTAGGGCGATTAAACGCAGTGTATAATAATAAGTAAATAAACCTATTTAGTATAACATAGGTAAGATAACACAATAAACAAAAATTAGTAAACACCCAAAAAACATTTTTTTTTTTTTTTAAATAATTATTATGTAGTATTTTCTATATTTCCTCTAATAACCGAATTTGCAAAATCTAAATTACTGGTTATTAAAGGTCGATTATAGAAAATAGCAAATACTGATGAACTTTTTGTCCATCCAGCCGTATTTTTGATTATATCTATATTTAATCCTGCTCTATAGGCAGCAGAAGTACTAGCATGTCTAACACTGTGACTAGTAAACATACTAGTATCTATTCCACTTTTTTGAAGGACTTCCTTTATCCATCTACTTATAGTTTCGGTAGAAGCGGGATGATATGGCTTTTTGTGTGTTAATATGAGGTAGCCCTCATCATTTTTCCTAAAAGGTTTTGTGATAGATAGATAATATTCTAGAGTTCTTGCCACGCATAATTCCGGTTTTTCAGAAAAATATGGAAATATCAAAAAAGGTTGGGCTTTATTCGGGCCCGATGTTTTAATTTTTTCTGATATTTTAATTTCAATTTTGTCCCTTTTAAACATAATATTTTGTAGAAATATTTTTGATATTGTTTGTACCCTACTAGCAGACGTCAAAGCTAATAGAGTGACAAGTTTTAAGGTTATATCTTTTATAGTGAAAATATGTAATGGATATATTTTTTCTAAATAGAGTAATATCGGGTTTGGATCCCAAGTTGTCGAGTATTTAGGGGTAGAGGGCCTTTTGTTATAAACACCCTTTAAAAACCGTTTTATGGTATTTCCATCGTGTTGACTAAAGTTTAATATTAGCGCTAGAGATGATCTATATGTATTAATAGAAGAATAAGAAAGACCTTCATTAAAGCAACTTAATAAAAAATTTAATACTGAATTTATACCATAAGTATATGGACTAATTTTTTGCTTTAAACAGTAATCCCACCATTTCTTATAACAATTTGAATATTGTTTTATTGTTTTTTCCCCAATAGGAATAACAGTCTCGGTTATGCCTCGTTTCTCGAACGAATCCCAGATAATTTGCCTACCACCAGGGTAAGACTCTTGTGTAGTGGGTGTTTCTCCCTGGAAGGAGAATAAGTTAAATAATCATGTGGACCAAAAAAAATTGGTTTTTCTAGTAACAATTCATAAAAAGACGGAAACCATGACTGAGAAGGCCAATTTGGAACAACCAAGATACCTGTAGCTTTATCCGTACGAATTTTTTCAAGAACTTTGTGGATTAAAGAAAAAGGTGGAAATCCATAAAATTTTAAGTTCTGCCAATTAGTCGTAAACGCATCAACTAATAAAGAATCAGGATCTGGTCCCCAAGAGAAGTATTTATTACACTTTTTATTAATTTTGGATGCAAATAAGTCGATTTGTGGTTTGCCAAATTGCCTAATTATTTTAGTGAATATATCTTGATTTAGTTCATATTCGGTTTCTGTGGATGTAACCCTTGATAGGAAGTCCGCCTCTATGTTCTCTTTTGTATTTATATAAGATGCATAAATAAAAATATTATTAATCTCACAGTAACTCCATAATAATTTAGCAATAATGTTAAGTTGTTTATATTTTATGCTACCCATTCTATTAATAGTTGCAATTGCTGTTATATTATCCATTCTTAGTAAAATATTACAATTACATGCAGTTTTTGAAAAGGATTTTACACTGTAATAAGCGGCTTTTAATTCTAAATAGTTAATATGTCTCTTACGGTCATCCTTATTCCAAAAACCGTTTGCTTGTTGACCATTGCAATAGGTACCCCAACCCGTCATGGATGCGTCAGAAAATATTTCTAAAGAAAATTGTTGTGGTAAGATACTTTTTCCCGCACTAGTGATATTCATTAACCACCAGTCAAAATCTTGTTTCAATTCCCGTGGAATAATCATTTTTTTGTTATAGTTCATATTATTACTACGTAAATTTCTTATTTTAACAATTTCAAAAGGTTTTGTGTGGAACCAGCCATACTTTATAGCTGGTGAAATAGATACCAATTTCCCAACGATTGATGCAAAGGCTCTTATTCTTATTGATTTTTTATTTCTTATTTTATTGAGTAATTTTAAAGTACCTGTTATTTTGTTTTCTGGTAAGTGTATTGTCATTTCATGAGAATCAAAAATATATCCTAAAAACTGAATCCTTTTAACGGGTTGAAGTACGCTTTTTTCATAATTAATTACCATACCTAGTGATTTTAACAGATTTACTGAAATGATGATGTTGTTATAGCATTGTTCATAATTTTTTCCGATAATCAAAATATCATCTAGATATATTAATACTTTACATCCTAAAATTCGAAGGTGTCTAGCGACCTCCTTCATTAATTTAGTAAAAATGTAAGGCGCTATGTTTATTCCAAATGGTAGGCAATTAAATTCAAATAATTGATTTTTAAATTTGAATCTTAAATATTTTCTATGGTTTTTATGAATTGGCAATAGAAAATAAGCATCTTGCAAATCTAAGTTTGCTAAGTAACAATCTTTTGTTATTAGTTTAATTGCTGTTCTATAATCATCAAGTTTAAAATGATTTGTAGGTATAAAACAATTTAACTTTTTTAGATTCAAAATGAATCGGTTTTTTCCGTTGGGTTTTTTAATGAGAAAATAAGATGATAAAAATTGATTTTTGGAGTTTTTACATTTTGAAATTGCTCCTTTTTCAAGAAGGTTCGAAATTTCTTTTTCATAAAATTTAATGTCAGAAATTGATACTCTTTTTGAAAGAGTTATTTTTTGTTTAGGTCGGGTTAGAAAAGGTATTTTTATACCTTTAATCCAATTTAGAACTTGCCGATTATGGACAATTTTAAGCCATGCTTTGTAAAAATTTTCTAATCGGCAAGCGATTTTTTGTGGTACCTCTACTTGTAGTGTGGTGTCCTGGACTGACGGTGATGGTATCGGGAGTTGTTCTTCTCTGAAATTCTCTTCTTCTGGTCTCTGCTGTTTCCCTGCCCCTTTTTTCTTATCTCCCCTTTCATCTTGGTGTTGAACACATGGCGCTTGAAGTTTAAATTATGACCAGTTGACGTTCCTGGGGTCGATTGACTGTATGTCATTCTGAAAGGTTTGTTCTTAATATTTTCGCTGGCTTTTTTCATGGCTTGGCAAGAATTAACCTTTTCCATAAAACCTGAGCCAAAAAGATAGTCATCTATAGTGCTTTGTTGGGCGGCAACTCTGCTGTTCTGGTTAATGGAGGGATTTACCTCCCATTTCCTTTTCACTGATAATGCGTGATGAACGCTGGCAAAAAAAAGAGATGCATCTGATAGTTTTTGTACTAATTCTTCTTCAGTATTGCCCGAGGTTTTAGATAATTTTTCAGTCAAAATTGAGCCAATAATTGTCTGGTATAGGATATTTAAGTAATAATTCCTTTCTGGCTTCGCCTGGTATACCTTGAGTTAAGTAGTTCGACCATCTTACTACCAGCTCTTCATGTAAAGCTTCCCCCTTTTTATTCTGATTACTGGGGTTTTCGCCCAAAAGTTCAACAATTTTTTGATCGTTAACCTCTATTTGTGGTATCGCTGATGTACCAGGTAGAGCATTATGTTCTAATAGTGTATTATATTGGCCGATTTCCTCATTTTCTCTGGAGAAAGAATCTCTGCTAGAGGTATGGAGGGACTCTGAAAATAAATACACTCGAATAATAGTGTTTTTTTTTTTTTTTTTTTTTAAGTTATGTCACCAAAATAAACTACATAAAAAGAGTTTTCCGGAAAAACAAAACAATGACATTCTGCATTATTTAAGAGCAAGCAAGCGTTTTTGCGAACATCGTAGTCAAAACAAACTACCCCTGTATACAAATAGCAAACAAATGTTTGCGGGCATCGTAGTCAAAACAAACTACACCCTATATATATATATTAATAGTATACAAGAAATGTTTCCGGTTGAAGCAAACAAAACAACAAAATTCTGCTTTATTTGATAGCAAACAAATGTTTGCGGGCATCGTAGTCAAAACAAACTACACCCTATTATATATTAATAGTATACAAGAAATGTTTCCGGTTAGAGCAAAACAAAACAAAATTCTGCTTTATTTGATAGCAAACAAGTGTTTGTGGGCATCGTAGTCAAAACAAACCACACCCTATATATAATAATAGTATACAAGAAAAGTTTCCAGTTAAAGCAAATCAACAAAATTCTGCTTTATTTGATAGCAAACAAGTGTTTGCGGGCATCGTAGTCAAAACAACTACACCCTGTATACAAATAGCAATATTTCAATACATAAAAAGGCGTAGCACACTAAAAAATTGTAAAGTTTAAGATATAACTTACCCTGTGAACTATCCGAATCGGAAGATGTTGAATTTTTATCCGTTAATTCCTTTTCGAGTCTCGCAAACTTCTTTTTCATTCGCAACAACTCTTTTATCGC